GGAAGGCTTTGCACTAAGTCTGGGAGGGTGGTCTGAGGTTACACAGCTATTTTTCACTGAGTGACTTGGCAGGGAATAAACATGTTCTGGCCAGTCAAAACATGAATGCGAGGGCTGGAGAGAGGACTCAGCGGTTGGGAGCACTTGCTGCTTTTCTAGAGAGCCCCTGTTTGACTCTCACACCCCGTGGCTGCTCAAGGCCATCTGTAACTCCAGTTTCAGGGGATCTGATGCCCTCTTCTGGCACACCGGGAACTCACACGACACACAGTATATATGTAGGCTAAACACCCATACACATAATAAACTATTTTATAGCCTCCAGAGTCTGAGATGACAGGTGTGCAAAAAAAAAAAAAAACAAAAAAACAAAAAAAAAAACAAAAAAAAAACAGATTACTCAGGATTGAGTCTGCATCTAGATACTGTATGGCTTATAGATTAAAAGTTCCTGGATGAGGGCTGGAGAGATGGCTCAGCAGTTAAGAGCACTGGCTGCTCTTCCAGAGGAGCTGGTTCCAATTCCCAGCACCTACATGGCAGCTCACGACTGTCTGTAACTCTAGACCCAGGGGATCACATAGACATAAATGCAGGCAAAACACCAATGAACATAAAACAAAAAAAAATCATTTTTAAAATTTTTAAGAAGTTCCAGAACTGTTTTGCTTTCACATTCCTTTTTTTCTTTTTTTTAAGATTTACTTGTTTATAATTTATACAGTGTTCTGTTTGCATGTATGCCTGCAGGCCAGAAGAGGGCGCCGAATCTCATTACAGATGGTTGTGAGCCACCTTGCGGTTGCTGGGAATTGAACTCAGGACCTCTGGAAGAATAGTCAGTGCTCTTAACCTCCGAGCCATCTCTCCAGCCCTTCACATTCCTTTTTGCAATTTTTAAATGAATTTTTTTTCCTGAGACTGTTTCTCTGTATAGACTTGACTGTCTTAGAATTCACTCTGTAGACCAGGTTGGCCTTGAACTCAGAGATCCGCCTGCTCAGGCTCCCAAGTGCTGGGATTAAAAGCGTTTGCCAACACCGCCTGGCTCCTTCTTGCTGTTCTTAAACTCTTGCATTTGATCTTTCTTTGATCTCTGTTCCCTGGTCAATTCCTATTTCAGGACTGTGGACGAAGGAGTGGAGAGAGGATGAGGCAGCCAGGAGGTTGAGGAGCACCAGGTTCCGGTGTAGAATGGCAATCAATACTTGATGAACCAGGGAAAGCTGCTGTGACTCCCGAGAGCCTCAAGAGTCTCAGTGGAAACAGATGGGGAAGGATTTGGTAAGATGTCAACCACCAGAGCCCAGAACTGTGGCATGTGGCTGCAATTCCAGCACTTTGGAAGCTGAGGCAGGAGGATCAAGAGTTTAGGGCTGGCCTGGGTCACACAGTGAGAGCCTTCCACAAATAGATAGGGAGGGAGGGAGACATACAATAAAAGCCAAATTAGGAAGTCATGTGCTGCTGCTTTCGTCACTGTGTCCCATGGGCAGCAACTATGGAGATTGAGCCTGGGTGTCTACTGGGAGAGAAACAAGAGAGCCGAAGCCTTCCTTTGAGAAGGAGGTGGGGGATGTGCTCAGGAAGGGAGCTCATACCCACCAAAGCTGGTGACAAAGGGCAAGCCGGGGTGGTACATTTTTCCAGGAGGGCTGAGGCAGCTCTTGGTGCCAGTTTGGGTGCAAAGATGTTTGGGAACAGTATAAGGTTGCAGAGTTCCACTCTACCCAATGAAGGATAGCAACAGATTTTGGGGCTCACCCAATCCAGAAGGCACCCACTGTACGTTGCAGACATGTATTATTATTATTTGCAGACATGTATTATTTGACATACAAAATTTTCCCTCCTCCAAGTTGGAAATTTCTAGTTTACTTTTTGTTTGCTTTTGATACAGAGTCTCACTATGTATCCCCAACTGGCCTGGAACTCTCAGAGATCTGCCTCCTGAGTGCTGAGATAAAGGCACATATCCCATCACTCGGGAGACGGGACATGGGAAGGAAGATCTCAGAGCTCCAGGGCGCCCTGGGCTATGCTGTATCAAAGGCCAGGGGGGTGGGGGAAAAAGAAAAGAAAAAAGGAAGGGGGACTGAGGAACTAGAGAGATGGTCAGCTGTTGAGAGTGCTCGATGCTCCTGAACAGGAAACAGGTTTGTTCACAGCACCTACACGGTGGCTCCCAACAGCCTGAAACCACAGTCCCAGGGGATCTGACACCTTCTTCTGGCTTCTGAAGGCACCACACATGCATGCAGTACACATGTACACTTGAGAGAAAATACTCATGATGTAAAAATAAAGTGGAGAGTTCAAGACCAGCCAAGGCTACAGGGTGCAACTAACAACCAAAATAGGCACCACTAGCCATTGATTCAACTATGGCTGACCGGTACCTACTGGAGATTCCATAATCCCATCAGTCAAGCAAAAACAACGAGGCCATAGGCCTCACCTAAGACAAGCAGACAAACTCAGCTAAACCTCTCCCCAAAGGCCTGGGTATGGCCCAAGGAGGAGCAGCAGTGCAGAGCAGACGTGTGGAGGCGAGTGGTCCAGCCTTTGTCTCAACTGACTGGTGAATGTGGTGGCTGCTCCCAGCCCCAGTTTCAATTTTAAAAGCAGCAGGTTACAAACTCAAATGCTCAAGAGGTACAACAGGCATGGCAAATGGTGAGTGAGCGTCCTATTTACTTCTTTATTCTCTTTTGAGGCAGTATGCATTACACAGCTGGTCTCAAACTTGGCATCCTCCTGCACAAGTTCCCTGTGTGCTAGGGACATTGTGCCACAATGATTGCCCTAGGAATATTCTTCAAGCTAAACCCTGCTTGCCTATATCAGTGAAGTTTCATTTTTTTCTTATTTAATTTGTAATTGTGTGTGTGCCTGTGTGAGTGGATACCAATGGAGGCCAGAGGAACTTGAGTTACAGGCAGTTATGAGCTGCCTAACATGGTGCTGGGAATTGAACCCAGGTCTTTTGGAAGAACAATACACATCCTTAACCACCAAGTCATCTCTCCAGCTCCCAAGACGGAAGTGTTAACACAGTCAACTGGATTATTCTCTTTCCCCTAACTTTAGACGTACCAAACAATGTTTTGGCTTATGCTTAAGTTCATAATTTTAAAAAAATTATGTGTATGTGTGTGTATGTGCCTGACTAAATATGCAACATATGCATCCATGCGCCAACAGTCCAGAAGATGCTGTGGGATACCTGCAGCTGGAGTTGCAGGCACTTAGCTGTGAGCTGCCCAGTGTAGAACAGAACTCAGGGCCTCGGGAAGAGCAATGAGCACTTAACCACTGAGCCATTTCTTCAGCCCTATTTTATTTTATTTTTAAAGTTGAGACAAGGTCTGTGTAGCCCTGGCTGTCCTGGAACTCACTATGTAAACCAGGCTGGCCTCAAGCTCACAGAAATCCTTCTGCTTCTGCCTCAAGTGCTGGGATTAAAGTCATGTGCAACTACTGTCTAGGTGGATTTTTATTTTTAACAAGTGCTCATTTAGCTGTGGTCAAATTATGTAAATCTTCCACTAGCTTGAGCTTTGAGTGGTTCAGTCCGCCTTGTGTCCAACGCATGGAATGATGTCCAACTTTTCTTCCTTTTGAAAGAGGGTCTCCTAGGTGACCTGGAATTTACCATATAATCCAGGCTGGCTTCAAACTTCTGATCCTCGTACCTTCTTCCTAGCGCTGGGATTAAAACTGCGAGCCAGCACAGCTGCCCTAATTTTGAATGAAGGCTTCTTTCATAGACAAGCAGTGTGCCACAGTTTTCTGACAGTGTCTGGCTATGTAGCCTGGGCTGGCTTTTGTTAATACACTCTTAGGAAGTCTGTACTGCTACTCTTCAGGGGTTCCCTATCCCAGAAAGAACAATTACTAACATTTAATTTAGAATCGGGCACGTTTGTTAGGACGCAAATACGCTCACACGAATCATTTTAATGCGCATCCGTACTTTAAAAAAAATAAATCCCACCTGCCCAAAGTCACCTGTACTAGATTTTTTTTCCTGTCCTAGGGATTTTTTGGCACTTGAGGCTCCGCCCACCGGGCCCCAAGTGGCGGAAGAACCTCACGCTACGACGTGACACCTCACACCACCGCGGAGACTTTCTGACGTTCCGCTGGCGGCGTGGGAGGGGCGGGCCGGCCGGCGCTTCCCCTTCACAGCTCTGGCCCCTCCCACGCCCGTTGTGAAGCAACAGCGGCCGCCAGCCTTTAAGGTGGCTCGGGACCCAGAGTCCTAGCGATGCTCTGAGAGCTTGCGCAGCTGCTTTTCCGCTGCAAGGGCTGGACAGGCCAGAGCCACACACCCAAGCCTCCGCTCCTTTCCGGAACTAACCGGCCGGCGCCGTTCCCCTCTGCACCCCTCCCCCGCCGGCGCTTCCGCCCGCGCTCCTCCTCTCTCCTCCCCCAGCGGCGCGCACGCGCACGCGCTCCAGGCCGGCTCGCGCCCTCTCGCTTTCCACCGGCCCGCGAGATCCCCCCCTCCCCTTCCGCCTCGCGGCGCTTCCTCGCGCCGCGGTCTTCTCGATCCACCCCTGACACCGCGGGGCTCCCCCCCGCCCGCCAA